AGAATTTCCATCAAACTATTTGTTTCAGCTTTAATTCAGCTTCTGGTTAGTGTTTACTAAAACAGCAATTGTAATCTAGTTGAAACTTTGAAAAATTACTTAGAATGTTTGTTTACAACTACTAGTGTTCGTTAACAGCTTAATATTAACAAGAACAATTAACATTAATTAGATCTACTGGGTTCCATCAAACTCGACTGTTGGGTTCAGTGGAACCCAGATCGATTGGATTCCACCAAACCCAGCTTTGCTGGTTCGACAAAACTCAACTCTATTGGGTTCCATTGAACCTAGCTAATAGGTTTGATGGAATCCAGATCGACTAGGTTTGACAAAACTCAACTTTGCTCAGTTCAAAGAAGCCCAACTGTTGGGTTTAGAACTAGGTTATGTTGATTTTCATTTTTCTTTAGAGTTGGGATCGTCAAGTTCACCATGTTTTCTCATTCTTCTTTCAATTCCCATTCCTAGTTCTTGATAAATTTAGGAGTTGATTTACAATTTGATTACATTTATATTGGAATTTAATTAGGGTTTGATTGACATTGTTTATTGAGGAGTTAATTTGATGGAGTGGAGATGAGAGAACATTCAGAGAAGAAGATATGAGTTAAGATTGATTTTGCAGATGGACTGGAGATAAGAGAGCGTTAGGGTTCACAGACATTTTATTCCTTTATTGGTTCTTTGTAGGTAATGTGAGACCCATTTGAGAGGTTTTGACCTGTTTAATTCGTGAAAGGTTAAAACCTCATTTTGGTCCCTCAACTATTGTACAGACCCCCGCTTTGGTCCCTAAACTAAAAAAATCCCTGATTTAGTCCCTACTGTTTACCACTTTGACCTCGATTTAGTCCTTCCGTTAAAAATTGATTGACGTGTCCCATTACCTGACGGGAATATATGACAGCATGGCAAAAAAAGAATGATATGGCAAAAAAAAGAATGACATGGCAAAAAAAAACCTTAAAATATTTCCTTTCCCCTTTTTTTCTTTTTTTCTTCCTTTCATCTTCTTCCTTCCCTTTCGCCTTCTGCAAACGCTAACACCTTCTAACATTAAATCAAAAAATAATACAAACCCAAAATCTCCCCAAACCAGTCATCGCCCTAAATTCTTTCTTTCAACCTTCCCAAAAAAACTCAGAAATATCATGACATATTTTTACAAAATTCAAGCTTCTAAACATAAATATTAAAAAAAAAAAAAGAAATCGAACCCTCGCTGGGTTCGCGAGGTTCTTGAGAACCCAGCAGATGGCTTCTTGAGAACCTAGCAGATGGCTGGGTTCTTGATCGAACCCTCGCTGGGTTCTCGATCTGCTGGGTTCGATAATCATAAGCAGCCATATGGGCAAATTTTTTCCCTCAACCAAATTTTGCCAAATTCTCAATGAGAACAGCCCACACAAACAAAATATTCACTAGCAAAATAATCAGCTGCAACTGAAAAATATCCATAAAATTCAAGCTTCTAAACATAAATATTTTTAAAAAAAAATCAAACCTGGTAAATCGAGAACCTAGCAGATCGAAGAACCCAGCACGCTTGCCTGGGTTCGCACCGAACCCAGCACACTTGGGTTCCTTGCGAACCCAGGCGCTGGGTTCGCAAGGAACCGAACCCAAGCGTGCTGGGTTCCATTGAAC